CGCCGCCGCCCCCCCCCATGGCTTTCCCCCAGCCGATATCTCGTCATCCTTTCCAGATGAGGCTGTCTTCTAGGGGGACGCCTCACCCCTGGATGATGGACGAGAATTCCCAGATCTTTTCAAAAGGGTAGTGCAGACACGGATGGCAGAGGTGCAGACGAAGCAATATAGGCTACTGAAAAACCTGCACCCAAGACAACAATCTAGAGCAGCGCTCCCTATTGATGAGGCGATCCTGGAGCCAGCCATGGAAATCTGGCACACCCCTGCATCGGCTACGCCTACATCAAAGAGAGTGGAGAAGAGATACTTTGTCCCTTCTAAGGGTTTAGAGTTTCTTTTCACCCATCCCCAGCCAAACTCACTGGTAGTGGATGCAGCCCTCAACTGAGCCAAGAATCCACAGGTGAAAAACGCAGCAGTGGAAAAAGAGGCCAAAAAACTGGACATATTCGGTCGAAAAATTTACTCCTCTTCTTCGAGTAGTGTCCCCGTGGGTGCTCCACTGTAGGTGAAGGGGTGCCCTGAGCCGCAGATCGGAGCTTTGTAAAGCAGTTTCCCCTGTATAGCTTTGTATAGCAGAGCCCTTCCCGCCTCCTGAGGAGCATGACTCAACCCCCTCCCTTTCAGTTCCTCTTTAACCGCCCTCGTCAGCGGTCGGAGCAGCCAGGAGCTCCCTGTCAGACTATCTGACTGCTTTCCCCTTAGTGATTTAGGCATAGTTAGCTTCCCCTGTTTTATCCTAGTTACTCTTTCCTCATTTCTTTACACACACACACACACACACACACACACACACACACAAAAACTAGAAATAGGAAAAATAGACTTAATTAAATCCCCCCCTCAGGGGGCTTGAACTTATCTCAGACCGGGACTCCGGTGAACCTGCTTTCTCCCGCCTGTCAAAACAAGAAACACATAAAGACTTAAAAAAAAAAAAAAAAAGAAGAAGAAGCAAACAATCCACAGGTGAAAAATGCAGCAGTGGAAAAAGAGGCCAAAAAATTGGACATATTCGGTCGAAAAGTTTACTCTTCGTCCACACTCCTTCTTTGCATTGCCAACTACGCAGCTCTGCTTTCCAATCATGGCTTTGATAACATCGCCAAGTTGGCAGAGCTCGCCTAGAACACTTTGGAAGCAGACAAGGCTATATTGTGTGCTGTAGTGCAGGAGAGCTACGCATGCTCCAGGGCAAGCCTCCAGATTGCCATGGATGTCGCGGACACTGCGACAAGATCAATATCTACTGTGATCTCCATGCACAGAGCATCATGGCTAGCAGCAGTGGGCGCCCTTAGGGACATGCAAGCTAAAGTTGAAGACCTTCCCTTCGACAAATTAAAGCTGTTTGTGGATAAAACCGACGAAGTCTTACATACCAGGAAAGACTCTCGTACAACCCTATGTACACTTGGCATGTACCACCATTCCGACGCAGAAGGTATTTTCCATATCAGAGAAGATATGACTACCAATTCCACAAGCAGCAGCCTCGGCCTTTTGATCAGGCACGCTCCAAACAAAGGCCACAATGCAGACGCCCGCAACCATCCAGGGCGACTAACATACCACATACGAAGCAGCAAGTTTGACTCCTGTCGAGGGCACCACCACACCAGTCAT